AAGTCAAACACGCTGTGACCGGTGACCACGCTTCCACCACCTCCCCAGCACGCAAATCATCCCAATCGAGCGCCATGCATTCCGGCGTTTCCACTCATTCCACGGGTCTCGGAGCGACGTCCACCTCTTCCGCTGCCCCCGCCGGTCCAGTCGAAGAGGTGTGCAGCACGCAAAACGCGCCCGTAGTGCAAGAGACATTGCGCGAACACAGGGCAGTCGAGGTGCAACCCATCATCGAGCGCGAACACGAACAAACCATCGTCCAACAAGTTGTCCAACCCGTGCGAGACCACCAGGCAGCTACCCACCACCACTACGCGGAGAACGCTGCCATTACCCGCGAAGTGCAGGACGAGCTGAGCGCTGACGACGCCAGGAGGTACCAGCAGAACTTGCAGTCTGTACACTCGGGAAGAAAGGTTGAGAACCTTGAGGAAGGTGTCATCACCAACGCGCCCATCATCCACGAGAAGGTGAACACCCACGTAATTGAGGAGGTCCAACCCGTCATTGAGCGTACAATTGATGAAACGGTATGTCGAGCACAAGGCGAGACTTGAATGCTGTTCGGTAGGACTACCGCTAATGCTTTTGTTCTCTTAGCATGTCGTCCACACCACTCAACCCATTTACGAGCATCACACCGCTTCCCCACGCGTCGCCGATGTCAGGTACGCCCAGCCCATGTCCATGGAAGAGTTTGAGGCCCGTGGTGGATCCATGTCTGGTACTGGGTTGCACTGCGAGAGGAAGTAGGTGTCGGAAACGGCGGTGCGAAAGTAGGGCGCTTGTACCTGCAGTGAAATACCTGTGTAGTGGGATGGTATATATCCTTTCTTTTTTTGAAATGAAATTTGACATGATTGATCGTCTCGCATTGTTATCGCATTTCATACTACTCAACTTGCCCAGTACTTCCAATGTGTTTGAATATCGACAAGGGTTTCCGATTTCTTCAGACACGACGTATTTACCTGGCGCAGCAGCAAGGCCCACTGTAACGTCTGATTATTCCACAACGTTGTAATAAGTAGGGCATTTGAGGGCGGTCAAACCGCTGAAAATTAAACTATCCAAAACAACTCGGTTCATCAACTGGTCATTCTACGGCACAGTGCGAAAAGGCGACGAGCCCTTTGTACAATCTGGGATTCATTACGGTATAAACTTCACGTAGCCCTCTTGGCTCAGTTGGTTAGAGCGTCTGCCTAGTAAGCAGAAGGTCCCGTGTTCGAATCTCGGAGAGGGCACATTTATCAGCCGGTTCTTTTGCATCCCGACGATCCTACACATAGAAATTTCCCGTTGGACTTGGTTCGGATTGGCTTTACTTTTCCATTCTGGCACTCCACCAAATCGAATCGATGAACCGAACGGATGATGAAATTCCCAGAGAACTAATTTTTGCTTCACCTGCAGACGCCCAGTAAATGGAGGATACAAATCTGGCTCTAGTGTAAGCGAACAGGTAGCTCCGCTAGCTCAGTTGGTCAGAGCGTGGTGCTAATAACGCCAAGGTCACAGGTTCGATCCCTGTGCGGAGCATTTCCCTTTTGCCAGTTTGAGTAAATTTCTGGGGTAAATTCCCAGAGATTTGGTCTTGCTCAAGTCCGAACACTCTTCATGTTCACAGCAAGTTGATGGAGTCTGAGCTTGGTGAGTACCTTCCCCACGTCTAATGGCGATTGAATCAGCTCGAACCTATAAAGTACTCGATGCAATTGCCAGATCCCGGTCTGTTTGATGCGGGAATCCTGTGATGTCAACATCGGCGACAGCTAAAAGGAGAAAGACCCAAACCAAAGGCGCCAACGAGGTCAAAGCACCCATAAGCGATTACTTTAAGAAAAGTCATGGAAGCGGCACAGGCGGCGAAAGCGTATCACGAGCGGCCATAGGTGCGCTGACATTCAATGCTCCCATTCCGGAGTGCCAGAAGAGAGTCAGAACTTTTAGCGAGGACCTGCTGCTCACAACGCTTCAGAATGGTAATTACCGTGTTAGCCTTTGTGGCATACGTTCATTTGGTTCTTCATGGGTTTTGCCGCGCCGATGCGTTGCAGGCAGCGTCAGATATACGTATTGATGCTTACATTGTTTGCACCTTCCTGTAGTTTTCAAACTCACGGCGTTTCGCGGGTCACAGCTTGATATCATTCAGTCCACGTTAGCTGGCAATGATTGCCTCGTGCTCATGCCTACCGGAGGAGGGAAGTCGTTGACGTATCAGCTTCCCGCGGTATTGGATTCTGGCGTGACGCTGGTGGTCAGCCCACTCTTGGGTAAGTAAGAATGATCTGTCTTGAGGTCTAGGATGCTTCTAGAGGGAATCGCTTACTCTTCACCGTCCATTATTAACCATTTTCTCAGCGCTCATTGTAGGTCCAAACAATCCGCCAGTACGTGACCGCCGGCATCTAATACCATTGCATAACAGCAAAATCAGGTTTCCGCACTACGCGCCCTGAGTATTCGAGCTGCTACTCTCAATTCCACGCTACGGAAGAAGGAAAGGGATGAGGTTATGAATGATCTTAAGCTCACAGAACCAACCATCAAGCTACTCTATGGTAAATTAGCAGACGTAGACAGTTGTTGGGTACTCCTATTTCTGGGTCTAATTTGAACTCTCACCAACAGTGACACCGGAGTTACTAGCTACGGACGGCTTCCGAACAACATTGGAGTACATGCATAAACGCTCAAAGCTGTCACGACTAGTAGTTGACGAAGCACATTGTATCAGCGAATGGGGCCACGACTTCCGGTGCGTATCATCGCTCAATGGCGTTTGCTCCGGTGACGTATAGATATTCAACAATCGCAATGTGTAGGTCAGATTACCGCAAGCTCCACTGGTTTAAGGACTCATTCCCAAATCTACCTGTTATGGCTCTAACTGCGACGGCTACTCCTCAGTAGGTGCAGCAGAAAGCGTGTGAATGCCGGAAGGGCTTGTACTCATTATGGCTTGATACTTTACAGCGTGCGCAATGACATAACCTCCAACCTGCACCTCGCGAATTTCAAATTGTTCACGTCTTCATTTAACCGGCCCAACCTGTTTTACGAAGTTAGATTCAAGCCTTCTGAACACAATGACCCGTATCAGGACATGGTGACGTTTCTATTATCCATATATGAGAACCGCCGGAAGCGACTTGTTCCTCAAAAGAGCGATCAGCTCACGTCAGAACGACCAGAGGGGGTTTGTGGTATCGTTTACTGCTCTACAAGGTCTTCTTGCGAGGAGGTGGCAGGATTCTTACGGCGCGATGGGGTCAAAGCACAAGCATACCATGCTGGATTGAAAGCAGCTGACCGAGACAGAATTCTCAAAGCCTGGTCGAGTACGACACCTTTTACCGGCATTTGCCAAGAAGAGAAACCCGCGCCGTCTGACGACATCGTCGACGTTGTGGTCGCCACCATTTCATTCGGCATGGGCATTGATAAGCCGAATGTCCGCTTCGTTATTCATTGGGACATGCCAAAGAGCCTTGAGGGCTATTATCAAGAAAGTGGGCGTGCCGGCCGTGACGGGAAAGTCAGTCGCTGTATACTATATTACTCAAGGCAGGATAGAGATAGACAAACCTATCTGATTGGTGGGGATTGTAAGAGCGTTGAAAATTTTAACAAGGTAAGTTGTGTTCAAGTGCGTAGCAAGCGCGACACCTGACTAGTCACTGACCCTTTCATCTTCTGCACGCAGATGGTAGAATTCTGTGAGAACACTAACATGTGTCGGCACAAGTTTTTCATAGACTATTTTGGTGCTTCGAGTTCGGATGACGATCCATGTAGTCTATCTTCCTCCAAACGATGCGACGTATGTAAAGATCCCAGCAAAGTGCGAAAGCTAAAGGATGAGGCGCTTGGAACGGGCAAGCTCGACGGACGCCAGTTTGAGCTTGGAGGCAACGTCAGACTGAAAGACGGTAGCTACATTGCCCCGACTCTGAACTCGACATCACGACTCGCAAAGTTCTCCAAAGGTTCCTTACTCAGTGCCGCATCCGGGTCGCGAGAGGGCCTAGATTACGGCTTTGAAGCGAGTTCCGGCTCTGACTATGGAGGGTTTCAAATGGCATCATCTTACGTGAATCCGAAATACCCGACGTTCGCATCGGCCCGCACTACGGTGAGTGCGTACAACAGCAAAAAGCGGTCTGCGCAAAAGTTTGGTGATGACATTGAGAGCGATTCCGACTCCGGCTCGGAGGGAAATAGAAGACGTCGCAAAACTGAAGACAACAGAACGATTGGAGAAAAACTATTCGGCCGGAAAGCTCATGCTCAAACGGTGCCTTCATCGACGCGCGAAAGGGCCGTGGCTTCACTCATCAACTTGCTAGCAGCGCACCTTCCGGTAGATGAGGGAACTTCATCAGCGCTCGCGAAGAACGTAGCGGAAAGGCTTGATGCTTTGGCAATGTCAAAAGCATCCGTCACTCAGCCAGAGTATAGCAATTTCATGGTGCAACGCGCACGCGAGGTGAAAGGATTAACACAGGAAGCGCCTGTTAATGCAAACGAAACGCTAGCGCAAAAGGTGCTGAGAGAGGAAAGAATGAAATTAGGTGTACATAGAGAATAGTAATATTGCCATCACCAAGTTCCGAGCTTTACGATGTGCGAACCCTTGCGCTCTGGCTAGTTTCTTGACTGGCCACAGCAGTCCACACTTCCGCTCCATCAAAACCAGTAACTGTTATAGCTGTTGAACGACAGTCCTGCAGTATTTGTCAAAAATAGCCGTTTGGAGCATCGAAAAGCATAGTTTTACACCAAGTGAAGTGTTCCTGAGATTGGCCAGTAAACATATACTTCGTTCAAGCAGAGGAGACGATGGGACAGGTACGAATGCCCTCCACGGTTGAAGGCAACTTGTTCGGTAAACTTGCATGATCAACGAAGGAGTCAGGATCCAGGCGTGAAGTACTATGCCTACCTTTATGGAACGACTTCATTCTTTTCTCGCATTCATACTCAAGGTTGCTCCTGTGGCGCAATTGGTTAGCGCGTCTGACTGTTAATCAGGAGGTTGGCAGTTCGATCCTGCCCGGGAGCGTTCATTTTTGGAACAATTTTACAGTTGCCGTTTTTGCAGCAGGCGGTGGTAAAAGATCGCTCCAGCGACCTGGCGTACATCTCGCTGCTATTGTAGCAGCTGTGAAATTAGCACGACGCTCTAATCAACGGAGCCGACGTCATTGTGGTTCTGGAATCTTGCCTCATATTAGATAGCTTGAGATACCCAATCTTGAACTGTAATGGGCTGATCTTGATTCACATCTCACCCTCGAGTTTCTGGATGGTATGCTGATGGAGCGGTGCCTTGTCGAAAGGAAATGTGCGCTAAAGTTGATATAGTTTCACGGACGCGTTGTTCACACCAGTTCTGTTGGTCACCAAATCCGAAAGTAAGAATCTCCCGGGCAGCATGTCTCGTAACCCATTCGCCGATGAGTCCCCGCTATTTGGCGCCGATGTTGCGGAGGAGCCGCTCTTTCTCCAGCCAAACCCCCGGGTAAGCTGAAGTGAGCGTTAGGGATCAGTTAACGTTTCCACTGATGGCTCCTTTCTTAGGATCGCATGATTGAGAAAGGCATCCAAGCTGCAGTACTTGGCTTCGTGGTGGTAAGCAGATGGATACAACTGCTCTATGGTGTTGAGCGCTGAGACGGCTCTCATTCATCTCCAGATCACATTCATTTTCTCCCTCGTAACGGGATTTTCAACCTCTTTCAACAACCTGTTTCTCGGAGTCTGCTTAGCAGCGTTTACGTTTACCACCGTACAACTGGTAAGGCAATGATGAATTTTGCGTGCAAGTTTTTTTTTTAGCTGAACTTCGTCGATAGATTCGTTGGTATCGCCTTGGCGATCTCGACCCCAAGTTCAAGCTTTTAATCCTCATCTCACTAGCATCTTTAATTTTGCTTTGCATTGTCTCCAACGTGTACTTCTGGTCCGATCGAGGCGTCGATATAAGCGCTTGCACGGGACTGTACAAGGATCATGGGCGGTTGAGCATGTACGAAAAGGAAACTGGACAATGCTGGTGGAAGTGCGACGAGAACTTTTGCTTGAGGGGCTCACAAGCACCGGGTACCTGTAAGGAATGCTAGGACGGTCAAGAGTCAGAGAGCTGGTGTCGATTTGAAAACGGGCCATATATAATATATTCATCTGCCATCTTTTGGCAAAGACTAGCCTCATTATTAGTCTATCATATAAGCTGCTAGCCAACTGGCGTATACTACATTCTACGGATATGAAGAGGCTATACATACATGGTGGTGGAGGTGCGTCTGAGGGTATGAGGTTCTTCAGTTCTGAAGCTTGGGTCAACGATTCATTTGCACTTCGCCGGAACTGTAAAGTCATCCTCAAGATTCTCCGCGGCCACTCCAAGGCCACGCTTCGCGAATGCTTTCCAGATGTCGCAATAATTCTTTCCACCGTAACGCTGTGCATCTGCCTCGAGGACAGCATCACGAGCTTGAACGAATGTCGGGTTGCAAGGCTGTATTTGAAGGGCATCTACCAATAACCTCAGAGTCATGATGTTCCCCTTCTGTTGGTTGGAATTGAAGATGTCGTCAGAGTAACCGTACTTGTCGACAAGGTTCCAGTAAACTTCATTCCACATTGCCGCCCACACCTCGCCAATCGCATGAACCCGTTGGGTAGTTGCGACGAAGGAATATGTGTGTGGGTTGATCTTCATATCGGTGGAGTAGGGGTATTTACGGATACCCGCACTGTTGTTTGCAGACCAAGCCCCAACAGCGAAGTTGGTTTCGCGAGTGTCGGTCCCCTTGCGACCAATGATCAAGGCGGCAGCGTCGGACCAGCCTTCTCCCATACCTCCACTTTCAGTCTGTCTCAAGCAGTTCGCGTTGGCCGGACCACCGGTGAGACGGTTCGACACGCCGTGCATGTACTCGTGAATCGGAATGGCGTTATCCATACCACCATCACGAGTTGGTGATGTTTTGTCCCAGATGAACATGCCCATTTCAGGCTGTTCACCGTCTGGCGGAGATCCAAAGTAAGCGTTGTTGGTTCCCTCCGGATCTTGTACAGAAACGGACACGGCATCACCGCCCTGTCCGCCCTTGCCAAAGTTGTTGGTCTGGAAGTTGCCGGCCTTTTCGGTGAACCCATAGTTGTAGAACAAATCATGCATCATATTGACGATGTAAAAGTTGTTGACGATGGAGGCTTGCAAATTGTTAGCGGTCGAGGCAGACGTCTTGATATCATACTTGGTGAGGTATTGGTTGGTGGCACTCTGTGCCGTCTTTTTCGTTGCCTTGCCAAAGAGACCGCCGCTTTGCGTCAATTTGTAGGCGTACGCATTGTTTCCGATTGTCTCGGTGTAGGTTTTCTTCCCGTCATCGTGCCATCCTTTGGGGCTGGCCTTCGTATCAGCAGGATCTTTGACAGTGACAAGCCCCTTCGTAGGATCGGCCGAGCGGAAGTCCACGACTGTGTAGGACGCCTTGTTAATCCAGTTATCCACGCGGACGACTTCACCAGAAGCGACAGAGGAATGCACCTCCAACCACTGGGCATCTGTCTCGCTTTTGGGCGTTTGGAGTTGGAATGTGTGGACATATTCGAGTTTACCGGCTGCCGTTTCGATGAATTGTTGACGAGGAGCAGCAGAGTTCCGCGGGACGCCTAAGGTGCTTTCGGCGAGCTGAATGGCTTGCTCAAGGTTGTCGGTCAACTGATTCGATGGAGCAATTTCTTCTGGTGCAAAAGACGCAGCAGTAGGTAGGTTAGAACCGTAAGAAATGACCTTGGAGTCGCGGAAAGCGACATTGGCGACTTGGTTGGCGACCTATTAGAGCAGTCGAGTTTAGCATTTAGCCTCATGCCACAAAACGATTGTGGTACCGCAATCTACCTTATAACCATCCACCGTCCTGGCAAGGTAAACAAACTTGATTCCCAAGTCGTTTTCAACCTCGTCGGTGATAGTAAGCTCGCTTGCAGGTATGTTGGTACGCTCAGAGATGAAGGTAGCGGCTCGCTCCGCGTCAGTAGGCTCACCGAAACCGTCCACAGGAACTACAACGCCTCCAACAGATTCAAACGTCGGAGAGCGATTGAAGCTTGCGGGAACGGCAGCCGGCTGCCGTGGAGCTGGTGCCGCCAGGGCACCAGACAAAAGGGAAAAGGCGAGAAGTACGCGTGGTGTGAGTTGCATTGTTCGTATTTTGTTCTTTGTGCAGGAGGGAACTCTGCACTTCTTGGTTAATAGAATGGCTCCTGGGACGCCGAGCTGCACCCGTCCTTTTATGCGTCGCTCCCATTCGTCCCATTCTGCCCACCATTCTCATTGACTGCATCCAAGAATGAGCGTCTGTCTATTGCGCGATCCACCCCAGATCTAAATCAGTAGCGACAGTTAATACTGATAGCGTTCAATCTTCAAAATTCTCACGCCGACAATCGGCAGTGTCGCGAAGATTCTATCAGGGGATGCACCATCAGCTGGATTGTTCTAAATCCCCGCTGAGGAGCGACGTCCCGACGCGTAGCGGCACAGTTTTCTTCGCGACGTGCACCTCACATTCCCACGGTATACACGTCAAATTCCCCAACAGATTTGATAAAAACATTTCCGCCCGCCAACTTGCGAGCTCCAATGAACTGTCAAGTCCTCCACCTCTGTCGTCACCGTTCAATGCCGCCATGATTCGGCAGAGGTTTAGAAGGATCTCGGACTTATTCCACGTCAAGCGATTATCGCTCCATCTCACAAGCGCACGGTCTCTCTCTTTCATCCTCCAGACTCCAGACGGTGGCCTTGGCCACGCGGCGTAAACGTGCTCATCGCAAGCCTGCAGTGACTGCCCGTCCATCAGTGGCCACATTATATGCTAGCATCGAAATGGTTTCTAATTAGGCTGTGTAGCGAATGATGATCTCCACATACTTCAAGCTTACCTCTCTTGATCTCTCTGTTTCATTTGAATTGAGACAAACCGACGGGTATCTTCCTAAGCACCGTTCAAGAACGCTGTTACAGAGCTGTCCTTGTCCACCGGAATTGCAGTGACCAATTCTCCACCGCCGCGGAACACGCTCTCTCGTGATTTTTTTTTCCACGGTGCCAACCAAGTGGAAATTCAGCGGGCCGATGATGAGTAACTATTAATTCAAAAGGCTGTTGAGGGTTGACCTTTGCCTCATCGAAGAATCAAGGTCAACAGCGGTCCGGCAAGTGCCCTGTCGGCAGGACTGATGATTCGATGATCATATCCGAAGTTGACACACAACTAGCTGGCACCTGAACTGCCTGCTGGGCAACATCGCCAGCTATTGGTGTGATTAGCGTTTTGGCCCAACGTACAGTATGGTTCTCGAACCATTGTGTGCCTTGGCCCAAAGTAACCAATTTCCGCATTGGAGGGAAACTACCGGAATACCGGATTATCAAGCCATTTTATCGGCACCCCCAGCGTCCTTTGTTGGGAATGGTGTTTTCGCAACTTGGCAATATCAAAGAAACCGTTTGCTCAATAAGTCTTCTTTGCGAGAACTCGCATTGAAGCAACGGGCGTAACGGGCCACCGGGGTTTACCTTGTTCCTCAACTTCAGATGCTTTATCTGCTGCTAAGGAAGAATGGATAGTGTACGGTGGCGAACATGCATAGGAAGCATGCTCATAGCATCTTATTACTGACGCCCAGCGAAGCGTAATCTCCCAGGATGAACGAATAGGGTTAAAGCTCGTATATACTAGTGATCTAATGGTATCCAGGCTGTCGACCTGCTACAATATGTCAACTCAAACGCTGATGAGTTCCTTGGGGTAGAGGCCCGACATTCCGTGAGCGAATGTAAAGCACGAAAAAAGAACTATCGGAGCCTCAGATAGGCTGCCTAGATTCGTATAATAAAAAGATGTCTAAATAGTGATTTCTCAGGGTGATGTGTCGGGACCACGGATGACCAGGCACTTCGTACGTCGCAGCCTTTCACTGACTCTTGCCTTTCCGTACATGTATGGGTACACCTTGCTTCGCGAAGCACTCACTCAAAGGCGT